TACCACGTTTACATGCAAGATAATTTAGCCTGTAAAAACAATTATTTAATTCCTTTTCCGTCTTTTTCTATGCTTCCCTCGCTCTTAAAGAGTATTTATACTGATATAAGAGTCGTACCGCGTTTTTATCATAAAGGTACAAGAATGAGTGTTTCGTTCTGGAATGAAACCCCAATAAACTCATTCAGAAATGACTCGTTTCGAATGAACGTTACTCTGGTATCATGTGGCAACCGGTATGAACTCGTTCTTGAACAAAATTCATTCCAATATCATGTAGAAAGTCCCTAAAAGTTTTTATTCCCAGAGCATCATACCTTGCTCTCTTGTCTAAAAAGTAAATACCATGAATTTCAATAGCGTTGAAGCAAAAACCCGCTTTTAACTGCTTCACTGCCACTGAAACATCAATTTGCGACCAAAAAAGGCATATATTCTAATATTTTCAATGAAACAAACATCGCTAAAAAGGGTAAATATGCATTTGTGTCAGTATAAATTATTGCGTGACTATCGGTCATTGTTAAAACTGTCTTTGTTTTGATGTTACTTTTCGACATAGGAAAAGTACGTCCGACAAAAATATTTACCAAAAAATATATATTACTTTGCCAGCTCCAGTAATGACAGGGGATTAAGTTAGGATAATAAAACAAAGGATTATGTCGACAGAAATACCGGAGGTCAAGTTTATTCGTTACATGATGTCACACAACTCGGGTAATATTCACGGTGAAAATTTGCATATTGAGCGGTCGAACGAAAAAAAATAATTTCTCGAAAACTAAAAATATATTTTCCCAAAAAAACTACACCACACTTATTAGGACTTTAAGACTACAAGAAAAGAGATTTAGAGCGTTCATGTAAGTTTCGGCAAGGACGGAATCATGAGGTTAACTTTGGATAAATGATTGGTGGTAACTCATCGCTCAATTGTTGATAACTGAGTTCAGTCAAAAAGTTTTTTTTTTTGGAATAAATAGTAAGAGAATAAAGCTCAAATTTCTTGACCGATTATACTTTGTTTCTGCTTTGAGAAGTGGAATCTTCAGGACTTAATCATCTTCAAGCCACACAGGTGTTCTCAGTCGGTTGTAATCGGCGTCCGCCAGGCGTCTTTCCTACGATGGAAACCTCATAAGGAGGTTCGGGCAATTTCCATTCTCTTAAGTGATAAAAAATAAGTGTCCTTAATGCAGCAATATTTCAAATTCATAATTTTTAGTCACGGAACCATAGTTCAAACAAATTTATTGCGGACTTTTCATGGACTCAAGTTTCAATGCACAAAGGCTATGCATTAAGAAACCAAGCCTCTTGGCAACGATTTGACGCAAAGTGCGGATCTAATTTCAATAGGGTATACTTAAATATTTCAACACATCATTCTGAAATGTTTGAGGGCACTCGTTTTTGAAAAGAGGTGAGTTATATATCTTTTAGACTTTTGAGAGCTGATAATCAAGTCTCCCTGACGTTGGTGAGTGCGGGGGCTATCAGGAATAATTGAGTGTACCCATCCGTTATTCCTTTTCAGAGTAAGTGAAATTCTCTGTCATCATTGATATGAGGAAAAATGTTGTTCTCCATACTAATACAAAGATAATCGAACGTGCTTTCTCCGTGTTTTGGTAAATTAAATATACAATTCCAAGCGTTTACTTCCAAACATATAGTGCAAAATATTTTATTGAGGACTTCAAATGAGCCTGCCCTTATCTTTTACCAACAAACCCTAAATTGTTCATCACAGCTTGGCACATTCGTGTAGCAGCAGAAGGGCAAATATTGATAAAACAATCATTTCAAAGGTTTTTCAGTCCTCTTTCAAGACGCAACTCTGAACTGATATAGGAATGAGACCACATCCAACCTTATTATCTTTGCTTTCTCGAATGGAACTGAAAAGCAAAAATGGAACTAAAAAATTAAAAACAAACTACATCCAAACAAATAATTGACAAGACGACTTTTTACCTCTAGAGAACAACTTGGAGAGTCATGTAAACGGTACAGAAATCATGTGAAGAGTACGGACGTGTTTAACGTTAAAGATAGATTCGAAATACTAGAGTTTATCTTTGCTTTTAGATACCGAAACGTGTGCAATCAAATGCAGTTTTGTTTCCATTAGGATATGTGTTTTTAAGATTCATCTGTGGGCACGCCCCGCGTGCTCGAGTCTAGGACATTTCGATTAGCTTAGATTGTATGGTAATAACTTTATTTTTGCTCATTGTATTTTAGTTTTTAAGAGCTTTCAAATGTAATAAAATATATAAAGATTGATAGGCGCTTGGAGGTTTCGTTGACATAAAACATTTCTCCGACGCGGTGTAGTTAGTATCGATTAATATCAGCGTCCGCCCCGTTACAGGAAATGATTCCGCGAATTGGACGAGGAATTCCTTTGAGTAATAAATATGTGTTATTCGCCAGCTTTCAGAGGTCCATATCGGACTCAAGACCTCGGGCACATTTTTTTCCAATACGAACCGACCTAGGCGGGTGAACAACATTTTTACCTTTTTTCCTTAAACATAACGAAATTCTCTCCAAAAGAACCCGGATGATTTAGGGCTGTAATAACAGCAAGATCTTCCATAAACCGTTTGGGTGAGTAAATGGTAGTTAAATTAGAGGTAATGCAAATTAGACGAGAGAGACTTCACCGAAACGTTTTTGTTTCTGTAATGATAAAGGTGATTTAAATGGTTTTCACAAACTTTGAAAAATCATCATTTAAAGAAGTATAAGTCAAGAAAAACGCAAGTACAATTTTGAAAAAAACAACGGAACTAGTTTGGTTAGGGCAGTCGCGAAAATTTTTCCTTCAAAAACAGTCAATGATCTTACGGAAATTATTATTAAATCTCATCGACGATTAATTAATGTACGAAGATTTACCATTGTTCAGTAAGTAGATGGCTAGCAAAGTAATTGTAAGTAAATTCAAATTTTTTAAGCCATTTTGAAGTTGTGAGAATTTGCTTGTTTGTTTACCGCAATGGTATGTGTAAATCTGGTCTTTCCTCCACAAAGAACTAAATTCGAATGAGACACTTCAACTTGACACAAAGGGATTTAATGCGGCTTTTTCTCATTGAGTTCCTTCAGTTTCTGTTGTGCAATTAACGGGAAAACTGACCGAACTGAAAGGACTTCGAAAGACTCACCGAAAGTATCTTTGTAGTGTAACTGATAACCTCGCTCGCCTTTTCACTAGGAACAAATTGTTTGAGAAATTCAGATTTTAGATGAATGAAAGTTCTATCGGTTTAACTTTCCAGGTACTTTTTGTGAAGGATTAAAATTATGAACAGACGGTTTTTAGGCCGCTCGTGAACCAATTTAATGACACTTTTACTTACACAAACTCATTTCGAAACCAATGTTTTACTGCGAACCAAAGTGATTTGAGAGAGAGAAAAGAGAAGATTACTAAGTTATTTGTCGGCTCATAGGAAGATGCAGACCCTGCTAAGAACCAATCATATTACGGGATTCGTTACCGTGCCCTCTGAGAAAAAAAAAATTATCATCTAGCAAAATCTGAAAACAGTTTGCAAAACTCAGATAATCTACTGCGGCTTAAAATCTTGCTTGATATTCTTCCTTGAAATCGGCACGCTATCGAGTATCATTTACAGTGTGTACTCACAATATAAACTATGCCTTAATCAAAATTTGCAGGTATTATGATTATCATGTCTGCAAATGGTTCGTGACAGTTTTTTTAAAAGAAACCTCGTTTTTTTCCTTTTCAAGGTAGACTGTCGTCAGGCAAGAGTATAACATCTACTAGTAGGGTCCTATCCTCGTTATTTTCAGGTTTAATACAAGCAAAGAGGTATGTATTGGCTATTCCGCAATTTCAGATTCCTTTTCCTCACTTCTACTATATAGTTTGCCACAACTAATGATCAATGCAGAACCGAAGTAAACATACAAGGAATGCCTCTCAAGCGCTCTGTCTTAAAAAGATGGTCAGTGGCAGCTCCTCACCTCTGCGATGTCAATTTCCTTTCAGCGCCCTCATGGTTTTACATCAGGCGATTGACCCGGAGAGGTAAGAAATCATGATCAGAAGTGGATTTTTGTTTCTCTAGATTTTCTCCACTCTTAGCAAACCTTGTTCCCTCTCACTTGTGATTACGAAATAGTAAAAAAAAAAAAAAACCTCATTTTTTTACTGCATCTCCTTTGGGTTCTATTCATAAATTACCGCCGATATCCTGTCTCGAAATAAAGGCGAGTGAAGGTGAAAAAACCGTCAGCGGCAAGTATTGGCTGGATCCAACAGTCACTTGGAAGGCAATATTGATTAACTGTGATATGGCTAGCGGGGGTAGGTCTTACAATTTTCTTAACGTGTTAACTTATTTTTAACCACAAAATTATATGAATATTATTTTACTTTTATCACTATTATTTGTTGGTTAGTATCATTTTTTTAGAGTGGATACCCTTCTCACTCCGTTTTATATTAGCCATTGCTTCCATTCTAATTTCTGGATTTGAATGAATGTCAATATAGCATTAGTGACTGCGACGTGAATGCTAACTGCACTAACACGTATGGCTCTTACAAATGCACTTGTAAAGCGGGATACAATGGCGATAGACACTCATGTTCAGGTACACTTATTTTCATCATCAAAGATGACCATGAATATGTTTTTCCATTGACTGTTTTAGCTCACCTCTATTCGAGGTCTCTTCATGATTGCAAGTGCAGCAATAAAGCAGAATTTATAGTATTGACGTAATTGATGAATGCAGCATTACAGTAGGGTTATGTCAAACACTTGTATCAGAGGCAAAAGGAAACAAGTCTAACACTATGTTATGCAGATATTTTTGATTGTCAGACAGAAATAAATTAAACCAAAATAAGTCATCGCTAACATCATTGACCACAAATCACCATCATCAACCAAAATCATCCTCGTGACCATCACTTTGATCATCATCATTGCGAACACTTTTGCTTATAGATGTCGATGAATGCAGCGATAAAATCCATGTTTGCGATGTGAATGCAAAGTGCACAGACACCAATGGCTCTCATAACTGTACCTGTACGGATGGATACATTGGGGATGGACAATCATGTCACGGTACATGCAATGACTTTAGACATTAATAACTGAATGAGTAACCAAGAACATGTTCAATAATGAATTGAATGATTGCCGGACAAAGTTACCCCTCATGCATCACTTCAGATATCGATGAATGCAGCAATGGAAGCCATATGTGTGATGTGAAAGCAAACTGTACTAACATTGGTGGCTCTCACTGCACCTGTAAGAAAGGCTACACTGGAGATGGAAAACGTTGCCAAGGTACATGTTGTAACTTTTATGACCATCTTTTAATGTATTTTTTTTAACTCGTGCGTTTCTTTTGGTGTTTTTTAAGTTCGAAATAAAAGGTTGATGCGAAAGAAAATCGAGAGGTTGGACTCTGCTGTTGTAATCTTGGGTTTTGTTGCTTTATTTACTAAGAAAAACGAACTTAAAGAGAACTTTTGAGCTAGGATTTCCAATTCTTTAAATTTTAAAGAATTCGTTGAACACTTCATAAGAATACACTTTTTCCGATAACTATTTTCACATGAGCTCTTTCGTCACGCATCTCAACTTCTGTTCCTCGTGCAACTGCAATTATAAGGAATGATAGATTGAAGATCAAGTGTCAAGAATAGCTTAAGCTTGTGAAGTATGAAATTTTTCACAGTATTTACTGAGAGAAAGGTACGACTGCAACAGACATTCTAGTTAGGTGACAACTAAGTTATATTTGAGCCCAATTTTTCTACGTTCTGTTTATTTTTTTCTCTCTATTTAATTGCCCTTTTTTTACATCATATTTACTTGTAGATGTCGATGAACGCAGCGACCATGCTTGTGATGAGAATGCAAACTGCACCAACACCAAAGGTTCTCACTTTTGTACCTGTAAGGAGGGATATACTGGGGACGGAAAGTCATGCCAAGGTACATTATTAGATTAGCATACGAACTTTAGCGCGTTTCGATTGTCACCTCTCCCCGACAAAGCAAATAGACATTCCATTTACACGCCTAGTTAGATTAGCTCCAGCATCAAACAGAATCATTTTTCACAAGTAAACCATGCTTATATGTTTTATATTTCTATATTTCTATAATATATTTATATATATCACTGAGTATGTTCTCTTTAAAACATTGACGAATGCAGTGAAGCTCATTCCATTAAACTGTACAACTGCCATCCGAATGCGTCTTGCATTAATACCTAGGGCTCATACAACTGTTCTTGCAATCCTACATATGTCGGTTATGGTTTTAATTGTGAAGGTATCATTTGTTTTTTTTTGAGGCGATGAAATTTATATTTTGTAGCTCAGGTTGAATGTAGCGGTAAATTTCGTAGACTTGACATATGATCCGCCAATCACATCCGGGGGAGGTATTATTCTACGCTTCGTCGTGAACGAATACAAATCAACTCTTAATAGTAATTAAAATGATTTAAGAAAACTTTACACAAGGTTTTACATGATGCAGTTTTACTGCTCTCTGTAAACCCACGAAATATTCGTAAGATTTTTGCAATGTTGGAACAATAGCAATAATGATTAAATGTATTTTACTCATGAAAGCCGATTAACATTGTTATTTCACTTCCTGGATGTAAAGAGCAATCGTAAATCGCTCCGTAGGTACATGTGTATAAGGTTTTTAACATAGAACGTAGTTATTCTGTCGTCTCGATCTTAAACATCATTGGCAGGTACACGCTGAATGTGAAGCAAATTTAATTCACGCAATAACAGGATCAGGGATTCAACATGTAGCGTACTTCACTTTTAACATGATCATTGATACTGCTGTCAGATTTTCAAGCTACTGACGAATTGTTCAATTATGCCATCAAATTAAGTGCTTTTAGTAGCAAGTAATAAAAAACATATACGTAATATCAACCAGGTACCAGGTTGATCACAAAGTAAAGACAAAATAGATTGTAGACAAACGGATATCTATTCCATTTATTTAGAATCGTTATTCAGATGACAGCGTTGGTTAAGCTCTCAAACTCATAGTTTTGAGGGTTTTTGTTTGTGTGTGTGTTTGTGTGTTTTTTTGGTTTTTTGAAGTAAGAAAAAAAAACAGAAGGAAGAGCATCAAAATATAAAAGCCCACGAAAATTACGCACAAATTTGACGTAGCTATTATGCTTTAGTATTTAGAAGCGTTGAACTAATTCATAGACACTCGTCGGGGAAAATCCAATGGCTTAAACCAGTCGTAATGGTCACAAATTTATGGCGAAAATTTACATCCCAATACCTGCAGAAAAATAAAACAGTATTATATCCCTTATTGTGATATGAAAATACCTCCCACTTACGAGGAGAGAATACCGGAGATCTAGATACCCAAAGCCCCCAACCGAGCATCACGCTAGGAGTTAGAGGTTTAGTTATCGTATACCAAACAGCTTTTTGAAAGTGAATCGCTCCTTTATCACGTTAATGGTTGCGTGGTGCGTGAGATTCTTTTCTCTTTGTACTCCTCTATATGATATGCATGGTCCGCTATACCTGAAAAGTCGTTTAAAATTTATTAATAACGGTTGATGAATTTTAAAGAGTCAAAATGCCTTTGGGATTAACATGAAGAAGTTACCAAGCTTTCCTTCTGCTGCAGAAGAACTGCGACATTTACCGTTAAATTCTATCCTTTTTAGACCTAAATAAATAGGAGTATTTCTACAGTAGTTGTGAAAATGATCTCCAAAATATTCCGTGTATTATTTTCATTAAAAAAAAAAAAATTTTCTCACAATACAGTGCTCTCAGTAATTTTAGCGGGTGTCTTTTTTTTGGTCACGGCTGCAAAGCTAGTGAAGAAACTCCAGTTTCGAAACATGAAGGTTTCTGCATTTGCATTTCGCAAAGAAGCACAAAATAATGCCAAATTGCGCCGCACTACGGTGATTTGTATGTGGGTTGTTGTATGTTGCAGTCTCAGCAAGAGGGCTTTACTACAATATGGCAACACACTGGTACACTTCACCGTTTAAGAGCACCTATTTTGAGCAGAGGTTCGACATGTTTAACAGCCCATCAGAGCTGATGATCAATTATTTATGACCTCGTTTACTGCGGGGTTATAGAGAATAATTTCTTTATTCCTCCAGAGCGAGCACGATTGTTATGAAAAGAAAGGGGTTGTTTTCCTTTTTTAAGAGTTATGGAAAATAACCACACGATTTACCACTCTCTTCATGTGCGATCCGTCATTAAAAATATAATTCGAAGTTTCCGAGATAAAATATATAGTAACCATAAATCCCGAGATATACTCGAGAAAAAAAATTGTCTTCTGTGACGGCCGCTATATAAACATCGTCGGAAACCGGCAAATGTTGATCAGTAACACCTCAAAGGTTTTCACTCATCCGTTACTGCAACTGCAGACGCATACGGCCGTTGCCGATTGTGGCATTGATAGAAAGGAAGGAGAAAATAAACATAAACGAAGTTGATGGTTGTTTACTGTGATCTTAGCCCTATGAAGATAGATTATGCATTTCAATCTTAATTCATTATTTCACTCATAAAAACCGGGATGGCTTAACGCTTTTCATTCATGATTGCTTTCACATAGGAGTTTTCCAAAGTTCTCACAATGCACAAAAGCTGTCTTCGATTTTGGATAATTTCGCAAAACTGGAATATCTAGTCTTTTTTTCAAACTTAAATAACATGGATTTACTTCAAGACGTGCAGGGGTTCTCTCCATTCATATTATAAGAATACAGGACGCCTTTACTTCCATGTAATTTCAACATATATCATTTTATGGTCTCCTATGGTTGTAAGACTTCCATTGTTTAAGTTGATTAAATTTCCAGGACTTTTTGACTCGTGTCAGTGCGAAATAATTTATAACCTTCTGGTGATACAAACATGCTTCATACGTGAGTAAAATACACGAAGAAACCCGTGAAGAGATTCGATGAGTGTAGAATAAATAGTTTATTTAAGCTGATAATTACTTCTTTGTGGCGCAAATAACTGCGTGTGTTGTGAGGAACAAAAGCGTGATATTCCTTTGTAACATTCTGCCCTTCGGGATCCCTTTCATCATTTATTAGTCCTTTAACTTTCTTCTTTTATGCTAAT